ATCCCAGGGCCCTGACATCGGTCACACGGTCCCCTGGCACCATGGGCTCGCCCTCACCGCCCTCGCTGCGGAAGCATGCCAGTTTCTCTTTCTCTGCCCCCGACTTGCAGTGTTTGCTGCAGCCTTTCTCCCCCCCACATAATTCTTTATTAAATATAACTTTATTGATTCCAGAGAAGAAGGGAGAGAGAGAGAGAGAAACATTGATGTGAGAGCACATGGATCAGCTGCCTCCTGCATGCCCCCCACTGGGGATGGAGCCTGCCAGCGGGCATGTGCCCTGACCAGGAATCGAACCGTGACCTCTTGGGTCATAGGTCGACGCTCAACCAGTGAGCCGCGCCGCTGGGCCCCCCGATAATTCCTGTTGGCTGTCCCTCCGTGGCCTGTCTCGGGACTGTCACCTCCTGAGCGACTCCCAGCGGGCGGGCTTCTCGATGCCCAGACTCTCGCTGTCACGAAGCTTCCCCGCAGCCTCTCTGCTGACTTCCCTACTCCCACAGGTTTTGCAAGAACGTTTTTGACCACGACTACAAGGCCACCATCGGGGTGGACTTTGAAATCGAGCGCTTTGAGATTGCTGGGATCCCCTACAGCCTCCAGATGTGAGTCCCTGTCGAGTGCCGCCGTTTCCTGGGTGGCCTGGGCGGGGGTGGGGGCTTTGAGGGCGCCCTCGCTGTGCTCTTTCTCAGGAGCACTCAGCCAGGACCCGTGGGAACAAACAGGGCCCAGGACCCCGCACCCCCGCACCTGGCCACCTGTGACCCCACTCGCCAGGCCACCCATGAGGCCTCTGGCAGGTCACTTCCGGTCTCTGAGCCCCTGTTCCCATCTGGAAAACGGGGCCCAAACTGCTGAGCTCTGACCGCTGCCGTGACTTAACCTGCCGCCTCTGTTTCCCTCTCTCTCTGCCCCCGCACAGCTGGGACACAGCAGGGCAAGAGAAGTTCAAGTGCATTGCATCTGCCTACTACCGGGGCGCCCAGGGTGAGCAGCTGGGTCATGGCGACGGCGGGGCCCTCAACATCACGCACCGAGGGCTCCCCACCAGGCTCAGCAGGCCCTCCGTGCAGGCCCCAATCCGTCCCCAAGAAGCACTGAGAACCCCTGCCAGTCTCGGGGCCTGGGTGGGACCCGGTGGGGATGGGTGCTCCCTGGGAGTCTCAGCCTGTGTCAGCTCAGAAAGAGGCTCCAGGGAGACAGTGTCCAGAGCCCCCAGAGAGCAGAGCCGAGCTGACCGGGAGTGGGGGTCGGGGGGAGGCTGGGCCAGTGATGGAGAAGCTGGGCGGGGGGGCTGCATCTCCATGTCCTGCCCTCCCTGCTCCCCATCAGTTATTTCCCCAAAGCTGGTGGTTTAAACTCACAAACTGCCTGTTATTTATTTGTTGTTGTTAATCCTCACCCGAGGATATTTTCCAGTGATTTTTAGAGAGAAGAGAGAGAGAGACACAGAGACAGAGAGACAGACAGACATATTGATTGGCTGCCTCCCACATGGCCATGACCAGGGCCAGGGATTGAGCCTGCAACCGAGGAACATGCCCTTGACCGGAACCGAACCCGGGACCCTTCAGTCCTCGGGCCAACGCTCTATCCACTGAGCTGAACAGGCCAGGGTGCTAATTGCTCCTAGTAGCTGCCACTGGTCCGGAGTCTGCCTGCATCAGACCCTGAACTGAGAGCTTTAAAATCGCTGCTCTGGCTTAAGCCTCCCGGCACCCCGGCAGCTGGAGGCACTATTGTCTCTCCCAGGTGGGGACACGGCCTCAGCAGCGAAGGCCCTCGCCCGCCAGCTCCCTTAGCTGCGCAGCGGCGGGGAGATTGAGCTCAGGAGCCCCAAGCGCATCGGGCCTCGTGGGGTCCTCCCTGTGGCTGCACCGCTGGGGGTGGGTCAGAGGGTGGGTCACTAGGGGCAGCCACGGTGACTCCTTCCTGGCCTCCATGTGGGGGCCAGAGCTGAGTGCCTGGGGGCCACCCCGGCAGTTCCTGGGGAGCAGGGAGCCGACTGAAGGGCCCCCCCTGTCACGCCCTGTCGCCTCCCCTGTCACTGACCAGCTCTTGGCTTTCGCCCACATGCGCAGTGATCATCACGGCCTTTGACCTCACGGATGTGCAGACCCTGGAACACACCAGGCGAGTCTGGGCTCAGAAACCCACCTGGAAGGGCTCCCCAGTCGGGGCCCCTGAGCCGGGCCCCAGTGGCAGGTGCGAGGGAACAGCTCTGGTCAGGCCCTTGTTCCCCCTTGAGGTTTGCACCAGCGCTGACGTGCTCGGGGGCCTGACCCAGCTTCCACGCTCGGCTGTGGCCATCTGGAAGCCTTCGTGTGGGACGAAGGGCCTCGCAGGGCCATGTCCCTGGGCCTGCAAACTCCATGGCCAGTCCTGTCGGAGGGACATGCCTGGCACCTCTGTCTGGGACAGGGATCTGGTCCGGAGCTGCCCACACGACCGGCTCCCGGAGGCCTTCCTGCTTCTGCCGGAATCCCCGGCTCATGGACCCGGCCCCCTCCCCCTCCCACGTGTGGGTGCTCACATCTCGCATCTCCAAACCCTGGGGGCCCGGGGTGACCGTCCCAGCTCATGACAGTGCAGGATCACCCCAGCTGACGCAGCCAGGGCAGAGCTACAGCCAAGACCGGGTCTCCACTGTCCCTGACCGGTGCTCCTGGGCCCCCCCGCTCCCCACCCCGTGGTCCAGCCAAGGCCCTTCCGGCCTCGGCCCAGCCCTTCTCAGCTAGCTCGGTCCAGGCACCCTCCCAGCTAAGTGCTCCCACCTGGGCAGCCGGGTCTGCACCCCCTCTGGCCTCTGGGTGGGCAGGGCTGTCTCTCAGCTGGTCCCCCTGCCCCTGTGCGTCCCAGGCAGTGGCTGGAGGACGCGCTGAGGGAGAATGAGCCGGGCTCCTGCTTCATCTTCCTCGTGGGGACCAAGAAGGACCTTCTGGTGAGTGGAGTGGAGGGGGAGGTTGGGGGG